CCCCCCAGACTGCCCCCTCCTGCCCCTGCCACTCCACACTCCCTAGCCTGTCCCCTGCAGCACACCGCCAGCCTGCCCCCCCAGTATGCCCCCTCCTGCCCCTGCTGCTCTGCAACCCCCGGCCTGCCCTCCAAGCATGTCCCCCAGCCTGCTCCCTCCTCCCCTGCCTGTCTCCCCAGTCTGCCCCCTCCTGTCCCTGGCAGGTAGAGCTCCCCTGCCCATGTTGGAGGGGCACAGGTGTTGGCTCTCCCCCGATGCATCGCTGCAGGCCGGTTTGGCTCCTGACGGTGTGTGAGGAGCTGATTTTTCTGGCCAGACCCCAAGCTGGCTGAGTCACCCCGTCTCCCTCCGCCCTCCCCAGGTCCAGCGCCATCTCCGTGGTGAAAATCCTGAGGGTGCTGAGAGTCCTGCGGCCGCTGCGGGCCATTAACAGAGCGAAGGGGCTGAAGGTGAGAGCAAGGCGGGGCCCTCCATAGGGGGTGGACACGGCCCCCCTCAGATCTGCCACAGGAATCCAGGGCCTGCCAGATCATGGGCCATCTGAGCAGGATCCCAGGACTGCACGTCCCAGGGCTCAGGCCACCTGATTTCACTCTCACCCGGGTGTTTTGTTAGGTGTCTGTGGGCAGCTGGGAGGCAACCCATTGGTTTTGTACTAGTTCCCCTGGCTGCATCTGGAACAGCCGCTTCCCCTGCACACCAGTGTGGTGCCGGGTCCCCCATCCGTGTCTGGGATGGCCACTTCCCCTGGTGTGGTGCTGGGTCCCCCATCCGTGTCTGGGACGGCCGCGTCCCCTGCACACCGGTGTGGTGCTGTGTCCCCCGTCCGTGTCTGGGATGGCCCCTTCCCCTGCACACGGGCACGGCCGATACCCACAGCAGGTCGTGGTGCGGCAGGCCTGGCCCATCTCTGCATTGGCCTCTCTCTCTCTCTAGCACGTAGTCCAGTGCGTGTTCGTGGCCATCAAGACCATCGGCAACATTGTGATTGTCACCACCCTGCTGCAGTTCATGTTCGCCTGCATCGGGGTGCAGCTCTTCAAGGTGAGAGCCCCTCCCGGCCAGAACCCAGCGCTGGTATCCCCCAACCCTCCCTGTCCTGGGGAGAGCTGGGGTGGAGCTGAGCTCAGGGAAGCACCAGGAAGTGGCTCCCCTTCGTTTCTTTTAAGAGAGGGGATTCTCCCATGTCAGAAATTCAGAGGGAGGCCGAGGACCATCCCCGGCCATCCCCTTGGGGGTACCAGCACGCTGCAGGCAGAACAGGGCAGTGTATGCATAATCTGTGCCCAAGCAAGGCAGCCCCATGGCCCAGTGGGAGTCAGCCAATTTGGGGGTCTCTTCCCAGCTTTGGTGCTGACCAGCCAGGTAGCCTTGGGCCAGTCCCTTCCCCACCTGTGACTCGGTTTCCCCCGCCCACTCCAGCTCCCCACCGTGTTGCAGGATCACAGGGTTTCCTCCTGACCACCCGTGGCACTGCAGGCAGGTCTGCGCTTGCACTGTTGTGTGAATGGATGAGGTTGACGTGACTCTTTGTCTAGAAGTGCTACGGGTTGCTGTAGCAGTGGTCTGGCCTTCGGGCCCTGCAGGGCTCCTAGGGGTTGTTGGTGCTGCTGACTGCGCAGGGAGAGTTGAGGGCTGGCACATCTGGCTGGGCTCTAACCACCTCTAAGGAAAGGCCCAGCTGGGGTAGGGCCCAGACGCTCACGGCCGGCACTAACCAGCCCCCTTTCAGGCTGGAATGGGCCGTGGAGACGCTGCCCCCTGGGTCGGGGCCAAGCCGTGGGGTCATGTCAGGATGTACTGCAGTTGCCAGCAGCTGCCCTTGTCCTTGCTCCCCAGGTCTATCAGTCAGGCCCCCTGCGGTTCACAGTACAATCCCTGATTCTTCTGCTCTCTGCTTAAACCTAGGGGAAGTTTAGCAGCTGTACGGATCCGGCCAAGATGACAGAAGAGGAATGCAGGTAGGCGCCCCCTGTCGTCACTGCATGTACCTCACAGCCAGAGCGCAGGGACCGGGGGTGTCATTGCCTGAGGGGGGACTGGTGGGGAAGGCGAGGAACCAGTCCTGGTCTCTTGTGCTCACAGCCTGTTCCCGGGAGCCTGCTGAGCAGAGGAGCCCAGGCGTGGGTCTCTATGCAGAGCAAAGCCTGCAGCACAGGGCAGTTTGCTCTAGGGGGCAGAGAGCCGAGGGGAGTGTTGAATGGCCAGGACCAAGGAGGAGTTGGGCTCGTAAGCCAGAGGAAGGCCAGGCCAACGGTTAAGGCACTAGCAGGGTTGCCAGGTGTCCGGGTTTTCACCGGAACGCCTGGTCGAAAAGGGACCCTGGTGGCTCCGGTCAGCACCACTGACCAGGCCATTAAAAGTCTGGTCAGCGGCACAGCAGGGATAAGTCAGCCGCGGCTTCTGGAAGCAGGAGCATGTCCCCCCTTTGGCTCCTATGTGTAGGGGCAGCCAGGGGGCTCCGTACGCTGTCCCCGCCCCAAGTGCCAGCTCTGCAGCTCCCATTGGCCAGAAACTACAGCCAATGGGAGCTGCAGGGGAGGTGCCTGCGGACAGGGCAGCACGCAGAGCCACCTGGCCGCGCCTCCGCATAGGAGCCAGAGGGAGGACAAGCCACTGCTTCCGGGAGCTGCTTGAGGTAACCGCCACCCAGAACCTGCACCCCTGACCCCATCTCACGCCCCAACCCCCTGCCCCAGCCCTGATCCCCCTCACACCCTTGGCTCGGAGCACCCTCCTGCACCCCAAACCCCTCATCCCCAGCCCCACCCTAGAGTCTGCACCTCCACCCCCAAACCCCCTGCCCCAGCCCAGAGCCCCCTCGCGCACCCTGAACCCCTCATTTCTGGCCCCACTCTGGAACACACACCCCCAGCCCAGAGCCCATACCCCGTCCCACCCCCCAGCCCCCTGCCTCAGCCCGGAACCCCCTCCCATACTCCGAACCCCTCGGCTCCATCCCCCAGCCCGGAGCCCCTCCTACACCTCAAACCCCTCATTTTTAGCCCCACCCCAGAACTCGCATCCCCAGCCGGAGCCCTCACCCCCTCACGCATCCCAATCCCTTGCCCCAGCCTGGTGGAAATGAGGGAGTGAGTGAGGGTGGGGAGAGCGAGTGACAGAGGGAGTGAGCAGGGAGCGGGGCCTGGGAGGCAGGGCAGGGCTGTTCAGTTTTGTGTGAGTAGAAAGTTGGCAACCCTAAGCCTGGGATTGGCTTGTGTTTTATGGAACGACCTGGAAAAGCTCTTTCAGGCCCTCTTCACTCATCATCAAAAGCAGGAGCAGAAGATGGCAGCCCCCAGGCATGGGTGGTGGGTATAAGAGGCCAGAGGGAGCTAAGCCTCCCCAAACAGACGGCCTGCCGCCTTTGGAGCGCACCGCTGCCAAAAGGGTGGGCAGCCCGGCTGTGGTCCTGCCCGCACTCCACTTGAGCTCCCGCTCCCACTCATCCTCTTCCTGTCCCCAGTCTGCTTGCAGGGGAGCCTTGCGGGAGGGGGTGAAGAGACACACGCATGCACGAGGGGTGAGTGGCCGGAAGCCGGTGGGCAGGCAGGGGAACCCCAGGGGAGGGGCCGAAGAGGCGCAGGCGGGGATGAGTGGGGCAGGAGCTGGAGCAGGGGCGGGGCCATGGTCTGGGCACACGCAGCCTCCCCAAATGGAGGAGTCACGTGCCGCCCATATCCCCAGGTGTTATGTCACCTTTGCAGGTCCCCTTTCAGACACCCTAGTGGGTGGAGTACGTGTCTGGGTGTATAGGGGGCTGCCCTGGGGCATGAGTCTCCCTGGCTGTGGAAGGGCAGAGCTCATCCCGGATGGCAGGATTTGCCATGCATGAGGTGGGATTTGCCAAGCTGCTCCAGCCTGTAGATCCAGGCTGCCACCTGATCCCAGGTACTCCGGGGAGAGGCACCAAGGGTGGATCTTGGTGAGGCTGCTGGGCAGGTTGTAGACGGGTTGTGGCCCTGGCATCCACATGTGATCCTTCCTCAGCACACCCTGATTGCATGACTGCCGATTCCTGTTATTGTCAGAACTCGCATACTCAGCCATGGTGCTTGTCGCGACCAGCACTGGCCTCTGGCTTCCTGCAGCTGTGAGTTCCCCAGGTTGATTTGGTGAGACAGTAACGTGCTCTGAGAAGCATGGAGTCTTCAGCAGGCGGGCACGTGTGTGTCATGGGCAAGGGGACTGGAGAGTTTCTGGGCCCAGTCCCCCGCTCGCTCACCCCTCGTCTGTAAATGCGCCGCTGCCTCCCGTTCCAGAGGCAACTTCATCGTGTACATGGACAGCGGCCCCAAGCAGCAAGAGCTGTACCCGCGCGAGTGGGTGCACAACGACTTCCACTTCGACAACGTCCTCTCAGCCATGATGTCGCTCTTCACCGTCTCCACCTTCGAGGGCTGGCCGCAGTGAGTCCGCCGGGGGGAGCACGCAGCATGGGGGCCGGGCACTGGGTCAGGCTGCACGGGGGGAGATCCCAGCACCCCACTGGCGCTGCTGCCTGGCTGGGGAATGCCATGTGAGGGGACTTCTCCCGAAGATGGAGAGAGGGGTCAGACCCCCCCACCCCCGATCAGGGGCACAGAGGTGCCAGTGCAGTCAAAGGGGAAGCAGCTGTCTGGGATGTCCTGACCTCTCTGCCTTAGCTCAGCTGGACTGAGCCGCCCCCCCATGCAGCTCTCTACTCGCTACCCCCCCAGGCTGCTGTACAAGGCCATTGACACCCACACCGAGGACATGGGCCCCATCTACAACTACCGGGTGGAGATCGCCATCTTCTTCATCATCTACATCATCCTCATCGCCTTCTTCATGATGAACATCTTCGTCGGCTTTGTCATCGTCACCTTCCAGGAGCAGGGCGAGAGCGAATACAAGAACTGCGAGCTGGACAAGAACCAGGTACTCCCCGTGGAATCCCCCCATGGAACCTCCCCCACCCTGCAGAGACCTCCCTCCGACCCCCCAGTCTCCTCCCACCCCAGCCCCCATGACCTGGGTAACTCTCGGTTCCAGGGATGCCCAGGCTCTGGGTGCGAGGAGCCAGTTGTACCAGAGCTAGGTGCCAGGGTCTGGACGTGGCTAAGCGTGCGGGATGAGTGCCAGCCGGACGAGAGCCGGGGTGCCCTAGCTGGGTGTGAACTAGGCAAGACCAAGGTGCAGGGGACCCCAGGCAGGAGAGGCCGGGAGCCCAGGCACGAGGGTGTGTCCAAGCTGCAGAGTTGAAAGACGAGACCCCCTGTTCTTCTGTGCCTCTCTCTGTCTGCTCTCTGACACCTTCACCGACACATCCAGGCTTGGCCACCACACTGGGAGCCCAGGATGGTTCCCATAAGCCAGGCTGCACAGACCACTAACTTAGGGTTACCATATTTCCACAATCAAAAAAGAGGACACTGGGGGGGGGAAGTCCCGCTCTAGCCCCGCCCTGCCCCCATCCACTCCAACCCACTTCCCACCTCTGACTGCCCCCCTCAGAACCCCCAACCCCCCTCCCCGCTCCTTGTCCCCTGACTGCCCCCTCCTGAGAACCCCCCACCCTAACTGCCCCTCTAGGACCCTACCTGTCCCCTGACTGCCCCGACCCTTATCCACATCCCCACCCCATATTCACACCCCCGCCCCCAGACAGACTCCCGGGACTCCCATGCCCCATCCAACTGCTCCCCGCCCCCTGACAGGACCCCCAGAACTCCCGACCCATCCAACCCCCTCTGCTCCCTGCCTGCCTCGACCCCTCTCCACACCCCTGCCCCTCTGACAGCCCTCCCAGAACCCCCGACCCATCCAACCCTCCCCCCTGCTCCCTGTCCCCTGACTGCCCCCCTTACCGTGCCGCTCAGCTTAGAGCAGGTGTCTGGCTCCGCTCTGCCCGAGCGGCGTGCTGAGGCTGTGGAGGAGGGGGGAAGCGGGGGAGGGGCTCTGGCCACCGCTGCCAGCCCCGCCGCCGCGTTCCCTCACAGGCGCACAGCCCCGCCCCCCAGCGTTGCCGGGCGGCGTGGTAAGGCTGCAGGGGATGGGGGGAGCTGGGAAGGAGCTTTGACTGCCGAGGCCCCAATGCGAGCGGCGCTCGGCTGCCCTGTCAGCTGCTTTTCGCTCTTTAAATAGCCGACCGGGGGAAATCCTGGACATTTGTGGATTTTTAGAAACTCCCCCCGGACGGCTATTTAAAGAGCGAAAAGCCGGACATGTCCGGGGAAACCTGGACGTATGGTAACCCTACACTAACTAGTTGTGACGGAGCGAGACTCACCACCATGGCGCCTCCTGCTGGCCATTCTGGAATTAGCTCAAATCCTTCCACAGGGCGGCCTCCTCCGGTGGTGTCTTGCTCGCCGTTACTCCCGCTTTGCTGTCTCCACCACTCTGTGACCCGCGTTGCTCCCCGGCATCCTCTTCTCTCCGCTGTCTCCCACCCCTTTCGGGGGGACTGGCAGT